TGTATCCTAGCAACAGCGACAGGGGGCCTCCGATGTGTAGCGCTTGACCTGATCCGACGAAGAGGCCGGTGCCGATTGTGCCTCCTACAAGACATGGAAGGTCAGCTCGATGATGCAGTACTGTGGTCGTGGCAGCAAAACAGACCTAGCGCCATCAGCTGGACATGGCGACTCTTGAGGCCACGCTGGGTGGGCTTGTAGCGCTCATCGAACAACTCTCGCTCGATCATCGTCCCGGGCTTAACATCCATGGTCGCAACTTCTGGGTCAGGGCGCGAGGGGGTAACCCCCGATGATTTTTCATGGGTGGCCATGATGATGGCGGACACGTTAGATGGGAAAAGAGAGAGATCAGAGGTGAGATGAGATGGTTAGTTGTAAAGACAACCGGGGCAAATCCGGTAGACGCGCATTTCGAGTGACGGGGTACTAACGTCGTGCGACCTCACCGATTATAAGCGTGAGATCGTAAGTTCTCTCCAGCCCATGAACTGAGCCGTTGGTCAACCTTGGCGACAGTGAATTTGCGAGATTGTGACGAGTAAGATGAATCCCCGCAATCAGGACGGATGTAACACCGAGAGAGGGTGTGTGAGACGAGCCGATAAGAAGATGCGGGGAAGCCCAATCGGTCACTGTGTTGGCTTGTGAGAGGTGCGCCACAGTCATCACACTAACCTACTTCAGCGTCGCTTATCTTCCTTCCAAGTTCCAAGTTACTTCTCATAACCGTCAAAGCAGGCAATGTCTAAGGCGGGCTTCTGGAAGGCTGAATCCCTCCGTCGCACGGCTGGCGCTGCCCAATCCACGTCCCCTGGTGGCCTGCCAACCCGCCAGTCCGGTCTAGCATGTTGTTGCGCATCTTATCTGTTCCTAGCACTCCCCTCCAGGGTCCAGGTACCCCTGATCCAGTGGCTAGCCTTTTAAAAAGCCACTTGACCGGTCCGACGACCGGGCCGGGTAACATATCTGGCATTCTGGAAAGTCTTGACTCGAGAACGCTCACGAGATCCAACGTTAAGCGAGATGACATACTTCTTGGCTGGCTCGCTTGGAGTCAACAACGGCAAATCGCGAGCCTCGGTTAGATCAGATCAGTTGAGAGTCTGAGAAACTCGGCCAATGCACAGTGGATGATGGTAGGCGGTCGCTCAGAAAAACCAAGAACCACAGCAAGCAAATATCAATTCATCAATGGTCATTAGTATTAAATTGTATCACTGCTCCAAACGACGCACAAACCAAAAGTACCAAATAGGGTATCGTCGACAAAAGGCAATCATGCTCGTTATGGTTAGGAATCTCTCCCCCACCCACCAATGTGATCCCAAGACACCATAACCACGCGACGTTGGCTCCCTTCCGTCCCCAGCTGGCGTAGAAGATCCATCTCGTTTGCAGTCAGCATCTTCCCATTCCTCCGTCGCTCCCACGCCGCCTGCGTGACGATGGGCGCCAGCTCCTTCGCGATGGCAGCCTCGTCCCGATGACACGCATAGACCGTCTGCGACCCCCGGACGCGGGAGAAGTACCAGACCGCGCGAACGACGTCGTAGCGATGCTCGAGGAACCAAATGACTGGCCAGGTAATGATCCAGAGCTGCAGGATGATGCAGAACCAGTAGGCGAAGGAGTTGTTGCGCAGCTCGTTGATCCAGTGCGGCGAGTAGATCGTCAGCTTCTTATTGGTGAGGGTGATGGAGATATCGATATTGCCGTGATAGTTGAGGTTGCGGAGGTGGGAGATAAGGAGGGAGCGGAGGGTGGCGACGTCGAAGCCGACAATGCTCCTCGTGAAGCGAAACCTTAACATTCATATTAGTACGAGGCTCAACCACCCTATTTTGGGGGGGGGGGAGGAGGGAAACATACGACTTGACCGGCCCGGGGTCCAGACAGAACCGGTCACACCAGCCCATCAACCCAGGTTCCTCGCCTTCTTCGCCAACCAGACCCACAATCTCCCCCTCCGACGCATCCTCCACATGACCTCCGCCAGATCGACGGGTGTGACCGGCCCAGGTCGCCGACCGGGAGCGACCGCCGCGATACGCCTCCTGCCCGTCCCCATCGCGCACCACACTGCACACCCGCCAGCCGTCGCGATCCTCTTCCTCGTTTGGAGCCGCGTCGACCTCGTCCTCGTAATCGGGCACCGCGTCATAGTCGCGGACCATGTACTTGTAGAGATCGATCTTGAAGTCAAAGTCGACGACCGTCTCGTTCCGCGTGCTCTTGTTGTTGGTGTTGTTGCTGTTGTTGCTGTCGGTGGTATCGTGGGAGTCCTCGCGGGTCTCGGTGTGGGAGCCGCGGACGGTCAGATACGGTCGCGGAGGGGTCCGGGCTTGGCGCACGATCAACGCGTGGAGGGCGGACGGGTCTTCGCTGAGGATGGAGTCCAGCATGACGCTGCGGTTGTCCCCGGCATCGGAGGTGGTTCGAGCGAAGCTGGGTCTGGCGATAGGAGGAGGGGGAGCAGGGTTGGTTGGAGAAGTCGTCGAAGGTTGCGGTGGTTGAGGGGTGACTGGACCAGCGGCGATGGTTTCTTCGTACGACGGGGGTGGAGCGGTCGGGTGGCCCATTGTCTGGGAGAGTAGGCACAGACGAGAGATTAACTGGGTATTGCGGAGGGTATAGGTATAGATAGCATATTAAGTGTGGTTGTTGCAGAGAGGACACATAATCCAGAGTTATGTTATACAGAAAAGTGATGGGTTGTAAGCCTTGGGGAAACGAGGCGGAGCTGTTGTGGCGGTTCGGCCTTGGCACTTCCCGCCCTATAAATAAACTACGATACCCCAAGGCACCTCCAGGCACCTCCAGGCACCCCACAAAAAGATGATGCCCCGAAACAGCAAACGCGATAATCATTGACCACAATTGTATTTGTTCTCTCCACCGCAATCATCTGCTAACCCTATACTAAGGCTACTTGTTCCTTCCACCACGCCAACAGTCTACTTCGACTGCGCATTGATGGCCGCCACATGATCCGTCACCAGGCACGTGAAGTCGCTGGTGTTGTAGTAGAAGGTGTTCCCATCGTTCGGGGACTGGCCCCAGCTGAACGTGGTGCCATACTGCCAGTACAAATCGCCGGAGATGCCCGTCGCGTTGCCGGCCGTCTGCTGCCAGGGGCTCTCGACGGCGCAGTGGTTGGAGGTCACTCCGTACTCTTCCAGCAGGCACGGCTTGCCCACCGCCTTGCAGGCGGCCGCGTGGGCCGTGATCCAGCCGTTGCCCCAGTCGTAGGAGGTGCCCCCTTGCCAACAATGTTAGTTTCATTGACTTCTTATACGTCGTACGGAAACCTTGGGAAGAACATACAGCTATCGGGGTACAGATGCAGAGTACCGAAGTCGATGGTCGAGATGCCCAGGTTCTTGGTGAAGTTCAATCCCTCGCCGTAGGTGTAGGGGTAGCTGCCGTCGGAGTCGACGTCGAGACCGAAGCCCTCTGTGTTAATGAAGATTGTTTAGCTTCTGCTGGGGAGAAGTGGTCTGATCCGGGTCAACCTACCATCGCCAATCGTGACCAGGTGCTTGGAGTCCAGCGACTTGATATACTTGGACGTGTCCGAGATCCAGTTGTACAGGACCGAGGTATCGCAGCCCTGGCAGCGGGGCTCGTTGGCCAGCTCCCAGGCGAAGATGGCGGCGGAGCTGCTGTACCGCGAGACGACCGCCTTGATGTAGTTCTTGTAGGCGGCCTGGATGGCGGTGTTGGTGTAGAAGTCCGTCTGGGCGGCGGCGCCGTAGGCCGTGACGTAGGCCTGCATGCCGCCGTAGTCGGTCCACTCGTTGACGAAGTTGATGATCAGCTTGACGCCGTACTTCTCGGCCGAGGTCACCACGTAGTCGAGGCGCTGGAGCCCGTCCGCGCCCGTGTTGATGGTCGAGGTGCCGTTCGCGTGCAGCTGGTACCACACCGTCCCGTCGGTGGGCTTGGTGTTGACGTCGTTGAACCCCCAGACCCGCAGGATCTTGAGGTCGGATGCCGCCAGCTGGCTCATGACGAGGTCCACGTCGTCGTTGTTGGTCAGGAACCCGATCCAGTACGAGTTGGTGCCGGCGAAGTAGCCCGTCTTGCCGTCAATCGTGAAGTGCAGCCCCGAGGTGCTAGGGAAGGCGGTGGTGGCTGCGTTGTGGTTCGGCGTCCGGGGAAGAGCCGTCGCCAGCGCCAGGCTGGCGAGGCTGAGGAGCATGTGGGAAAGCTTCATCTTGGTTGTGTGGTGGTGTCGAGTCGCCTGGCTCTGAATCTCATGCTTCCTGCGCCAACCTGCCTCTTCTTATAGAACCCTGATCCGGGATCTTTGCAATCGGACCATCCTCCGTTTCTAAAATGAGAAGCTCCTTGAGGATTGAGGGGAGTCTGTTTCGTATAGGGAAGGAAATCCACTGTATATCCGCTTATAGAACGGAGAGACGGTGATCGTCAGGGCCGTTAATCAATTCGGCTCTGCTGGCGTTTTGTCCGTGCTGATTTGGGAATGGCGGATCGGCTGGTGTTTCAGATGACGTGAGTGGTGGAGGGTCTGTTCCACTTCGGCCGCGACAAGTCATCGCTTGATTTAGCCACATTCTAGCTGACCGTGGGCATGCAATTATGCATGGGTTCTGGGGTAAACGATTGAGTTGTTTAGTGGTTGCGGGGTTGAGGGGCAGAGTCATCTGCCTGGACGGTCGGGCCGTATGCCGTGCAGGAAATGCTTTCTACATAGTACTCTCACAGCAAGATCACACCATAACGAAGTGCAACAATCATATGCCTCAAGGGGTAGCAGTGGGTCTTCCACGTCAAACTTGAAACCGATCTTGGCAGGGTGGACATTTGTTCCAGACGCTACCCGCGTTTGCGCAGCGACAGACCTATACAAGAGCAAGACTTAAGACATGGCCTAGTAGCCGCTTCGAATATGAAGTTGTATAGTTTCAGTCTGGATCAAGGCTGGTGCCTATTCATGAAAGCAGCCAAGAACATCGACTCGGTATTCAGTCACATCATAGACTAGCGTCTTCACTTGACTCCGCCTCAGTCACCAAATGAGCCCTGTCAAAGGATGCACGCTGGACGACACTACACCTGTCACTAGTCGACTTCCGCTCGAAGCGATCCCGAATGAACCCCAGCCACTCAGGAGAACTCGCCGTCAAGACACCGGTATGGTCCATGTCCGCATAGACGCTCATGTGAACCTCATTGCCCGATAGACAACTCGCGTTGAAGGAGCGGGCGTTAATCTGCGGTAGGACAACGGTGTCATTCAGACCCTGAGCGATGAGCATCGGTGTATCCGATGTACCTCCATTGGCAGGGGCCATTGCGTTCTGCCACGCTTGAATAGGGACATTGTTCACGAGTGCGCTCGTGTTTCTAATCATTTCTGACGGTCTCAGACGGTACCCTAGCGACATGATGCTATAGTAGCATGCCTGCACGAGCTCAGCGATGTCGACGCGCTGGAGGAAGGTGTCGCAGAAGAAGGAGAGGTCGATCCTGGGGATGACGCGCTTGAGCGCGAGGGGCAGCCAAAGGGCTTCGTAGGTGATATCATAGCTCGCATACTTGCTGGCTGTCAGAACGGTTTCAGCCGTGAGCACTGTCATATCGTAGATCCTGCTGACGGGTGCTAGAGCCACGGTGCCCAGGTATTCTCCCGCGCCGTGGGCTTGGACCAGCTCACTCTCCGACGGCTTCCACACGGCCCCGCCTCCCTGGCTGCGACCCACGCTCAACTTTTCCGAGGTGAAGGTGTGGGGTAGAAGCCTTGCGTGCGGCGACAATGGCGTAGTAAAGGTCGCTGGCGTGGGCAGGGAACGAGAGGTACTTATGGAGGGTGGCATTATCTCCGAGACCCGCGTACCCGTTCTCAATCAGGAGGCTCCAGCTGTAGTAGTCGTAGAGATCGGCGGTGGTGGTGATGGTGGTGGTGGGAGGACAGCCGGCGAAGACACCAATGATGCAGTGGGCATAGGCGACCACGGGGAACTTCGCATCGGGTCGGAACGAAATATCTGGCATCCCGATGAATCCGGTGGCGGGAACGAGGCTGCCGTTCAAGGTCCCGTGTAGTATATTGGAAGCGGTAGGCGGTCGTTCCGGTGATCACGTTGAGTGTGTTCGGTTCGATGGCTTCGAACGTCAGCAGATCACCTGCAGCAGAACCGGTAAAGTTGCTTGCGGTGCTGTAGAAGCCGAAATCGAAGCCCGTGCCGAGCATCTCAATATCGGCGGCCAATCCGGCTTGGAAGTAAGTCATCCTAGCTGAGTCATTGTTGTTGTCGACATATTGAGGTTTACAGTAGATGTTCTGGCCAGAGAGCTGCAAGCAAGGCCGATAAAAATGGTGGCATGTAGCATTGGAAAAGACAGGCTATTTGCGGAGTAAAACGAAGTCATTGCCAATACATGAACGTAAAAAATCAGAGAGACTAGAAGACTTCACACCTAAACTGCCCAACACGGAAGAGATATCTATCCCCCCTTTGAGAATGAGGAGTAAGCTTTTTTACCCCGGAGCGCGCGGGCAGCGACCCGCTAGCGCTAGGCTGTATTTGGGCATGATGCTGCGAGGGTGGGTCTGTCTGGTACTGTACTCACATGAGACGCTCTATGTATAGTTTGTGATGCTTCATGGAGAAGAGCGGCCTCAACTGGTCCATCTCAAAGAACCAACTATCATGTGTGATATCCATGTCTTGTGTGTAGTTAGATCAAGATCAGAAATTGCAAGTTCCATCCTAATGTTGCATCGTTGAACCGGTGCTTGTGTTCAATGGGTACATATGACCTTTGGCTATCCGACAATCATGCGGTCAGACGGTTCGAGGTGCAACCTACGTTCAACGCCGCTCGTATCTATCATATAGGCCCTACTCGAGAACTGCGATAGTTGGTACTCCCTTTAGCGAAAACACGGGAAGAAATTCGAAGCGCCTGCCAGCTCACTGACAAGCACACACATGAAGGCCTTATATCGAAGTTCTCAAGGACGAGTATGGTGTGCACGTGACACCTGAGAATCTTTGCAAGATTCGAATACGCCATGTAGTAGGCCTTCCACCAGTAAGATGAAAGAGATCACCTGGCCAGTGACCTCGGAAAATCCCCTTTTTTTTCGAGCTGGAAGTAGGGTGCACCGAAGATAACGGCCTCGAACCTTCGATCTAGTTCTCAGTCCAAACTGCCAGGTTTCCACGTGCTTCTGTCAAAAAGCCAGTGGATTCGGGAGACATCCGAAGCAAGTGTATCAAGGTAATAGGTGACGCACGGAGGAGAATCACATGGTCCCCCAGTGTGGCTTGAGAGAAACCCGCAATCCCATCAAGAATCATGTCACTGTGTTAGAAATCAAGGTTTCGTGCCCATCCAAGCAAATTAACTGCCTAGATTCACATGGGCTGTGCGGGCTCTGCCGAAGTGTCGTCACTACCAAAGAACTCGGAGATAGTTCACTCTTTCGGTAGTGTCTCCGACCAACACTATCGGTAATTGTGATCGTGAGATGATCGGGAGACCGTTGCTTTTGACAGATCGGGCCTCAGAGAAACAATCTCGTCGTGCTGGGCCTGCGTTCGGCAAGTTTCATAGCGTTGGCGCCGTGGGTTGAGACCGGGCGCCCTTCGGATCTCGGAAAAAGATTACTGAGGCGTTGAGCGGACTGGCGCGATGTGGGGAATGACTTTTCCCGGGGCTGCCATTCGGGTGCTATGGTGTCCCGTAGTTCGCATGGGGTAAGGAGTACAGTGCGGAGGGCTAATGAACAATCGGCGAATAGGATCGATGGTTTACAAAAGATTTTTATGAAGTTGAGTGACTCTCCAGACCGGATGATATCCTATGGCAATCCCGAAGCAGGCCGTTATGGTACGATCGTACGGCCGAGTTATCTCAAACCTTGTATACCTTTGGCTTGAGGCTAAGCAAGATGCCTGCTTCCGGCCGTGCCATTTCCAGCCTTTGACCTGGTGGCAATGGCTTCAACTTCAATGGTTTGGTTCTTACAGCAATTGTCCGATCCATGATCTCGAACCCATCGCTACCGGCAGTCGGCGGTCTGATGGGGAGTCCAGCTTCCAGAAGCCGAACAAGAATTTGATTGAATTTCGATTAGATTTGATCCGAGACACCTGTCTAGGAAAGTTCCACGGCAACTGGTGAGTAAGCGGTCTAATACGTCATCCGGAATTCCAGGCTAAGCGAGCACGTGAGCGCGCAGCAGCCCTTGCCCTACTTGAGGATGACAATTTACCCGGCTGAAGGGGGTTTCTGCAAGAGGGACTCGGGACTCAGGGGATTGCCTCTAGATGATCAGTGGAACCGGCAAACAATAGTCAGGAACCATCTTCAACTTCTATCCCACAGGGGGAAGCGATGGGGGATCCTTAACGTGGTACAAGATTATCTGCTACTTCTCAATTACACAGTACGTAGAGGTAGACGGAGACGGAGACGAATAGACCATGTGGACAGTGCATGGGAATAGCGTCATACATTAATGGGCGGCCTGAGCAAGCCATTGTCGTCATTGTGCGAGAAAGGATCAGAACCCTGGCCAGAGGAGTTTAGGCGAGGTTCGCACCAAGGCAGCCACGAAGCTTGGTGGAGGATTCCAGAGCCAACCGGTCGAGTCCATTGACGCCACCAATCAGTTTCGGCTCGGTCGGGATGGCAGTCAGCTGGACGCTGGCAGCAGTTCTCGCAGTGATGGCGATTCTCGTCATGCCGACCATCGGGGCCGAAACGCTTCTCTCGGTCGGCTTAGCGAGCATGTCAGTACCAGATGTCGGTTGGTCATTGTAGACGAGGACCAACTGGTTGAAGGGGCGTGAAAGCAATTGACGCTGTCGGGAATAGCTTCGTGTACCTAGTAGATACAACAGCTGCAGTAACATATCAAATTCCCCATGTTTTGTGCGTGAATTCTCCGCTGGTTTGCAGGTGGTCATAACTGACGTTTTAACCTCCGCATTTCCCCTCTTTTTCCCCTCCTTTTAGCACAGTGCAGGAAGTGGAAGTGCCTGGGATAATGGGATTGAAGACTCACCGGTCAACGGATATGGTATCGCACTCCCCTCAATTTCTCCAGGCCCTCCAGGCCCTCCAGACTCGATGGTCACTCCAGTCACTCCAGGATATCCGACCCTTTCCGGGCCACGCGCGGTCATTTGCTTGCCGAACTCTGGAGTTGTGGGTGAGTGCCCCGAAGAGGCATAGTGGTAGTGGGGCATCTCCACATTGGGCAAGAATGCCTTTTTGTTCACGGCTCATCCATCGCCAGGCTTTCCCCGTCTGGAGCGCCGCTGATGCCCGTCTCAAATCCTGCCAATTCCTTGTTCTTCGTTCTTCTCTTCTTCTCTGCTGTCTTGGCTGATGCACGAGTCTCACACACCCCTGTCGGTCACCATCAGCTCACTGTAAACCAAACCAGTCTTTCCCCGGATATCGAAAATGGCACCAGACTAATCCATTTCTGTACGACAGCAGCATCTCTTTCTTCCCTCGTGGAAACCAGAATCCAGAAACCGATGTCATCGATCTGGGGAATCCATGGATGGCTTCTTGACACACGCCTCCCGTGCCATGCAGGCGGGTGGCGTCGAACCCCTTCCAATCTCTAGTAGTCTAATAGAGAATAATTTACCCCCCCGTGTGCCGATGCCGTCAGCCAACGAGATCCGTCACCTGCTCTTCTAACTGTCCCGAAAGAGGCCCGTGGAACCCGATAGTACTGCAACTCCCCCTGGTACTCCGGTCGTTCCCCAGTATTCCGTCACTTCTGACTGGCCTGTCGGTTTCGGCCGGCCTTCTACGGTATACCTAGGGCCATTGAGAAAGTCGTCAGCCCTGGTCTCATTCTCCTTCCCCCCCGGCAGCTGCTGATGTCGGCTCCCCACATGTCGGCTCTCTGCCCAGGCGTGGATCTGTTTTCCCCCGATGGAAAATTTCACCTCCCTCTTTCGTACAGAGCAAAGGCATAAAAGGCTGCTCATTCCCCCCCGGAGAATGAGATCTTTCTGAATCAGGCATCTGCATCCTTCTTCCTTACTCCCAAACAAATCATATATCTCCTAAAAGGGTGATTAAGTTCAACCCTTCTCTACTTTCACGGGTTCGACATCTCCCTATCGTCCGCTCCTTTGGGCTCGATCTCACTGATCATTACTCTCTTGGACAAAATCAAAACAATCCCCGCAGCCTTCACCCTTCTCCACCATGGGTGTTGAATCCTCTGCCAGCCATGGGGAGCACATCACTCCTGCTGTCGCTCCCCAGCAACAATCCAGCCAAGAAACGCTTGGCTACGACAAGCCGATGGAGATGGGCGTGGACACCCCCGTTCCTCGTGTCACGCTGCGCTCCTTCGTCCTGACCATGTTCGTCTCCATGGGAGGTCTTCTTTTCGGTTATGATACCGGTCAGATCGCCGGCTTCGAGCAGGAGGATGATTACCTCCGCCGGTACGGTATGCAGAAGGCGGATGGCACCTGGTATCTCAGCAATGTCCGCTCCGGTCTGTTGACCAGTCTGTTGTCTATCGGTACCTTGATCGGTGCCCTGGTTGCTGCCCCTATCGCCAACCGCATTGGTCGCAAGTGGTCGATCACCGTCTGGTGTGTCATCCTTATCATCGGTCTCATTGTGCAGATCACGGCTCCCTCGGGCAACTGGGTCCAGATGGTCATGGGCCGTTGGACCACTGGTCTGGGTGTCGGAGGTTGCTCCCTCCTGGTGCCCATGTACCAGGGTGAGAGTGCGCCCCGCCACATCCGTGGTGCCATGATCAGTTGTTACCAGCTGTTTGTCACTCTGGGTATCTTCCTGGCCTACCTGATCAACCTGGGAACGCATAACCTCGAGGGCACCGCTCAGTGGCGCATTACCCTGGGTATCACCTTCGTGTTTGCTCTCGCCCTCGGTGCTGGTATGGTCTTCTTCCCCGAATCTCCTCGCTTTGCCTACCGTCACGGCCGTATCGATGAGGCTCGTAACACCATGTCCAAGCTCTATGGTGTTCCCGAGAATCACCGTGTCATTATCAACGAACTGGATGAGATCCGGGCTCAGCTCGAGGCCGAGAACGTCAGCCAGAAGTGGCACGAGTTCATCACTGCCCCCCGCATGTTCTACCGTATCGTCCTGGGTATGGTTCTGCAGGCGCTCCAGCAGCTGACCGGTGCCAACTACTTCTTCTACTATGTAAGCTCATCTTGATCTTTCTCATATGGACCGTCTTGCTAACATTGAACAGGGTACTACTATCTTCAAGGGGGCTGGTATCTCCGACAGCTTCATCACCCAGGTGATTCTCGGCGCCGTCAACTTCGGAACCACCTTTGGTGGCTTGTACATTGTTGAGAACTTCGGTCGCCGCAAGTCTTTGATGGTGGGTGCTGGATTCATGTTCGTGTGCTTCATGATCTTCGCTTCCATTGGCCACTTCATGCTTGATGTGCAAACCCCCGAGAACACCCCCGATGTTGGCAAGGGTATGATTGTTGTGACTTGTTTCTTCATTGCTGGTAAGTCCCGGATGACCTTTCTTTGGCAACGTTGTCATCATGCTAATTATTCTCCCAGCGTACGCTATGACCTGGGGACCCATGGTCTGGGCCATCGTTGCCGAGCTCTACCCCGGCAAGTACCGTGCCCAGGGTATGGCGCTGGCCACCGCCTCCAACTGGCTCTGGAACTTCCTGATCGGTTTCTTCACTCCCTTCATCACCGGTGCCATCGACTTCGCCTACGGCTACGTCTTCGCGGGATGTCTGCTGGTCGCTGTCTTCGTGATCTACTTCTTTGTCATCGAGGGCAAGGGCCGCACCCTGGAGGAGCTGGACTGGATGTACGTCAACAAGGTCAAGCCCTGGAAGAGCAGCAGCTTCGAGATGCCGACTCTCCACTCGGCCGAGTACTTCCAGGAGGAGGAGCGTCACCGCAAGGAGTCCCGCTCCTACCACGCGGAGAATGCTTAAGAAGTTGGCAGCGTGGGAAACCGACGAAAAGTTATACCCCAGGGGATTGGAGTTTGATTGGATGTGTTCATGATGTTTTTTTCACATACAGTTCATATGTGGTGGTGTGCATTTGCTCGCATGATATACCAGGCTTGGCCATGTACATTAGATTTGCATAGTTCATACACTTGCTACATTTTTTCAATCTTTGAAATGACTTTGGTATGTAGTGTCTCATGCCTAACTCATGCCTTGTGTAACTTGTTTCCATCGAGAATTCACCGTGATGGCCTTGCCACTGGGGTATGATGTCATAGTGTAACAGACATTACATTACCGCCTACACCGCCACACTAACCACCGCCACCAATGGGTCTATGTTATCTTATCGAATACACTGGACAGACCCACAGGGTGCAAGCTACCAGTAGCCTTGATGAGTACTACAGAATGCGTAGGTCCACAGTATCACTTCTATGACTCCATCCAGGCTGCAGACAGCAGCCATAGCTAACCGGCGCCATCGATCTCAGCCGTTCATGCAGCTGACAGTTTTAACAGACCTCACGTAAGTACTCAGTAGATGAGACTAACACTGTAACCTAATTCACGAAATAGCCAACCACCGCACCGCAATCCCTCCATCTAGCCCCTACAGACCCAACACTAGCGCCCCAACCCTTGCCGCCTCGTGTCAACCACCCGCGATCCTTACATCCATCCACCTCAACTCCGACCAACCCATCAGCATAAGCATATTAAACCAGCCATCTCCCACTCCCACCACATCAGGATTAAAATCCGCCTACCAAACCCACCCTCCGACCCTTATCTCCCAGTCCAACACCTCCCTCCCCCACCAAAATGATGCCCCCAACCCAAGACCAAGAAGAACCGCGCCCAACCGTCCTCATAACCGGCTGCAGCGCGCAAGGCATCGGCTCCGCGCTGGCCCAAACCTTCCACGCGCGGGGGTTCCACGTCTTCGCCACGGCGCGCTCCCTGCCCAAAATGGCCCACCTCGCCGACCTGCCCCACGTGACCCTCCTGGAGCTGGACGTGACCTGCGCCGCGCAGATCGCGCGGGCGGTCGCCGCCGTGCGCGCCCACACGTCAGGAAGGCTGGACTACCTGGTCAACAACTCGGGCTTGCCGCTGGTGCGGCCCGCGCTGGAGACGTCGCTGGCCGAGGCGCAGGCGCTCTTCGACGTCAACTTCTGGGGCGCGGTGCGCGTGACGCAGGCGTTCAGCGAGATGGTGGTTGCCGCTAGGGGGTGTGTGGTCAATATCGCGAGTCTGGGGGGGAATATGCCTGTTGTTTGGAATGGTGAGTTTCTGACCCCGGGAGTTGGGGGGGGGGGGTAAGGGATGGGGTTAGGTAACTATCGTGTGTGTGAGCTAATATGTTGGGATGTGTGGCTGGGCAGCGTTTTACGCCGCCTCCAAAGCCGCTCTGAAATCCTACGGTGAGACGCTCCGGTTGGAGCTGGCGCCGTTCGGGGTTCGGGTCGTCACGGTCATGTCCGGCGTGGTGCGCACGCAGATCTTTGATAAGCATCCAGACCTGCAGTTTCCGGGGTCGATGTATGAGCCGGCTACGGATGGGGTGCGCAGGATGGCGGCGGGGGAGTCGGTCCAGGATCCCATGGCGCCGGAGGAGTATGCGCGGAGGGTGGTGGAGGATTTGCTGGGTGGGAAGTCCGGGTTGGTGTGGCGCGGGAAGATGGCGTCCATTGGGTGGTTTTTGACGACGTGGATGCCGACTTGGATTTTGGTGAGTTTTTCTTTTGTCCTTTGGCCTTCTTTGGGGCGGGGGCAGGCTGACTGTTTAGGATCGGATGGGGACGGCGGGGATGGGGCTGGAGGAGTTGAAGAGATAAGTATTCGATGGATGTGGATAGTAGGTGGTATATTGCAGGTTCCTCTGGCTCAGACTCAGAAATGATTCTCACTGTTGCCGAGTTGTAAATTAGCTAGATGATATATGAACAATCCACACTCAGCTACCGGGGGAAGTCCATGGTCTCGGAAAATTAGCACTCGCGGGGAGGTAGACACAGGGCTATACGCGGCCTCCTCCGCAGAACACCACTTGCAACCATAGCCAACCCACATAAAACCCAGCCAGATACCACTCCCCAGTCCTACAACACCGTATGATCAAGCAACAACAACCAGCCCACCCCTTGTAGCCCATCACATGCCCCCCAAACCCATCAACCCATCATCCGAGTGACAACCCTCCAACGCTTGTCCCACCAAGCCTGATATAATAACCCGAAGAAGCCCCATCACTGGATTTCCCCCTGAAACCTTCTCTCCCCTCCCCAACCTTAACCTGAATCGAACACACCAACCGAAAGCAACAATGCCCACCCAAACCCCGCCCAAGCTACGGGTCGCCATCATCGGCGCCGGTCCCGCGGGCCTCGCCGCCGCGATTGAGTTCGCCAAGTTGTCGTTCGTGGAGGCTCGGATCTACGAACAGGCGCGGCAGCTCCGCGAGATGGGGGCGGGAATCAGCCTCCACCATAACACCTGGCGGATGCTAGATGCGCTGGGGGTGTATGAGAATTTGGACGAGAGGGATCTCTTTCGGCCCGCGGACGGGCATTTGGTGCAGCATCGGTGAGTTTTTATCTGGATGGACTTTGAGGGGTGCGGCGTTAGGTGGAAGTAATAGCTGATGCGTGGAGGGTAGGAATGGGAGGACGGGAGAGTTGTTGCTTTCCACTGGGCAGGAGGGTGAGTTCCATCCATTCTAGATAGATTGGGTTTGGGCTGAAGGTTGATAGAAACGCCCGCCCGGTACCACCAAGCAAGAACCCTGCGCACAGTGCTGCAGAAGGCGCTTCTGCGGAGTGTCGATCGGTCACGACTGAGATTGTCGAGTCGGTTGATCGAGACCGTCGAGATGTCTACCGGGGCACTGAGTCTGCGGTTTGAAGATGGCCATGAGGACGAGGTGGACCTTCTGGTCGGCGCGGACGGGATTCGATCGGTGAGCATCCCCCTCTTTCCACGAATAGTCATCAACAAGGCTCATATGTAGACCGTCCGCCGATTCGCATACCCGGACTACCGGCTAAGGTACACGGGCACCACCGCCTACCGGGCCCTCGCCGACGCGAGCGACATCCTTAGCATCCCCGGCTTCCCTGATGCGAACACCTTCTGGCACGGTCCGCACAACCGGCTCTTCACGTGCAATCTCCGGAACAACGTGTACGAGATCGCGGCGCGGGTGCGGCTCACGGAGGATGCTGCGCCGGTTAGCTGGGGGCAGGATGCTTCGGTGGAGGACTTTGGCGAGCGGTTCAAGGTTGGTGAGACCGTGGCTTATGCGGTCATCGTTCATCTAGAGCTGATTTGGCCTGATTGGCGATCAGAACTTCTCCCCGATGCTCCAACGGGCGATAGCCAAGATCAGGGTGGTGAAGAAGTATGCGCTCTTCAATGGACCGCGGTTGCCCCGGATGGTTTCGCATGGGTCGATCGCGTTGATCGGGGACGCGTCGCATCGTAGGTTAGTAGCACAACGTGGTGACTTGTACTGACAGTATGAATAATTAGCCTTAGCTGGTGAATTCGGTACGGGTTGAGCATTGGTTTTCCAGATCCGGTGGTGTGAAGCTGACCGTCACAGGAACAGGAGCTGGCTGCGCCTTTGAGGACGTCTACGTGCTCAGCCGTGCGATACGGTGGGCGCACGACCGCGGCCATTATCTAAGTGAAGGGCTGGACCTGTTTGATCAGGTCCGAACGCCGCATTATCATGCGATGGTGAGATGAATTGGCGCTGCAGACTACCCCTTACCTCTTACTTGATAACCTAACCGGGAATAGTACGATATCCTGGACGGATTCGCTCGGTCGAGTGTGTCGCGCAAGAAGATCACCAGCTTCGACGACGCTGCCAACCAGATTATGGAAGACGAGTGGAGTGATGGGATCCGTTGGCTGTATCACTATCAGGTCCGTTTCGGGGTTGATGGTATGCACAACTACTGACCAGCATTTGCAGGTGGAAGACGTCTGGCATAGCGCCTGGAGGGCAGAAGATGCTCGTCGCAGTGTGCCTGATGGTGACGATCATGAAGAAAAAGCGAACGGGGCTGAAAGTACTTCTCATCTCTAAGCGAGTGGGCAGCCATATACTATATACTCACTGTAAACCATGAGGTGTAAAGAATGAATGCACTGTAACAGGACAGTATGCGATGTAAACATTATCTCCGAACCTTGGCAACTTATAGCCGAGCCAATTCCGATAGGGCGGTGTGGCATTCTGCCCACTCCCCCGCCCACTCCCATTCCATCCACAAAGGGAATCGCGGTGTTTTCTTTACCGTTTTTCCACACCTCCCCAAATCCCATCCCTGGACTCCCCTGGGCCATCACAAACAACCCCTCTATTTGCACGCCCCCCTCCCCCCCCCACACTCCCAACCTTAACTACGGTATACATCGTGACCCAAATGCAAACCACCCATCCACACCACGGAATGGCAACGCCATCCTCCTCCCCCTTCGACTGCTTCGCCGTCGGCCCGCCCACCGACCCGAACGCGCCGCCGCCCCCTCCACCCGACCCATCCATGCTGCAGCTGCCCCCACCCCTCGAAGGCTGGTATGTGACCTGGGAGGAAGCCTTCGGGAAATCCCAGGCCTTCGCCGAGTCCCACGGCTACCGGCTGGTGAAGAAGCGCTCCAGCAAGGGGGAGACCGGGGGCAACCAGCTCAAGGCGCTGTACCTGATCTGCGACCGGGGCATCTTCAAGCCCTCCGTCGCGAAAATCCGCAAGCGGCCCACCCGCAAACGCATCGGGTGCCCGTTCGACATGTCCATCCTGTGGAATTCGCGCCAGGGCCTGTACCAGGTGCGCGTGCGCAATCCGTTGCATAACCACGGGCCCCGCGAGAAGACGCCGCCGCCGCGGGAGCCGTCGCCCGGGTCGAATCTGCCGTTTTTGAGCGACGAGTTGCCGCCGCGATTGGGGGAGGAGGATGAGGGGGATGAGGGGGAGGGGGATCGGGAGGGAGGGGAGAATACGCCTTCGGCGGAGTCGGAGGCTCAGCAGCAGCAGCAGCAGCAGGCGAGCAAGCCGGCGGTGAAGAGGATCAAGATTCGCGGGCTGCGGGATGTCGCCGTCAAGGCTTATTGTGAGTGGCAGGAGTCGTATGTGCAGTCTCCTCTGCTCAAGGCGGAGTTTCGTAAGGCACGCGACGTGGCGTTGGAGAATGGGCTGGATCTCGAGCAGATGCACTTGGACCAGGATTGGGAGTTTTTCGTCGAAAATGGGGTCAAGAAGGGTATTGCGAGGCGGTTCATTGAGGATATCGGGGAATGGGCCAGGTTGTTTGAGGAGCTGTCGGGGAATTGAACATTCGACCGGTGTTAGGGGTGCTTAGAAGGGGGTCCAGCGTGTGATGGACATGTTTAGTGTACATATCATATCAAGTTCATTGGCCAGAGTGCTTAATTCGAAGGTCTCATGGTGAAAGTTACTCTCGCTATAAACTATGGTTGGACAGCTTTTCATCTAGATTGCCAGAGGACTCGAGATCTGATTACGTCGCTTAGAGGGACGGTGTCAACCCACGCCGCGACCCAAGCATGTGAAGAACTTCCTTGGGGCCGAACAACCCGAGACAACAGTTCGAATATGCAACGATCGATAAAAAGTGCTCTGTTGAGACATTCCATTGGACAGCGCGTAAGTTAGGGTGACCGCCGATCTTGAGATAACGTGGGTGACGTTGATCTATGGGGGCTATTAGGGCGCAGTCGACATCTGCAGCGGCAAGGATCGGGGCCGGAATCCTGCCGGAAAAATCTTGTGCAAGGCTATCTAGCATTTGTTTCTTACAGATAGTAAGCTTGACACTGCATGCTGCTGCGCAGCAGTTGTACGCGTCATGCTTCCCCGCAAAACCGCCCCCAGGCGGATCGGCACTAAGCCACTAACCTCATTCGCTTATGCGGAACTATGTCGGTTTCATGGCAACATGGGTCATCAAGTATACACTCGTCAGTATGGAGACTGCAATGTTGACAGAAAGGAGACACAGATGGTGGATTGAAAAGGTATAAAAGGGGGCTGTCATCTGTGGTTTCAGGTCATCATCATCATCATCGAAAGACACTCAACACACCCCAACAAGCAAAGCAATCACTCCTTTGACTCACTCAAGTCTATCATTATCCATTCAATCTATCCACAAAATGAAGTTCTCCACCACCCTCATTTCCGCCGCCGTCTCCCTCCTGACCAGGCCCCAGCTGGTCTCCGCGCTCTGGTCGTGCAGCGAGCTCTCCAAGCTGGGCGACACCGCCATCGATGGCACCGCCTACATCCACTACACCTCCATCCGCGACAGCAGCTACAAGGCCAACGGCGAGGGTGCTGCCGAGCCATGGGTACGATGACCCCTCCCCTTTGAACTACCGTGCCAGTCCAGAATGAACAGTGGCTAACCGCACCAGATCGCAATCTGCACCCCCAGCGACGACTCCTGGAGCCAGCAGGACTTCGGTCTCCCGTGCACCAACAGCGCGGGCGGCAGCCAGCCCTACACCTTCTCCTCCTCCGAGACCGGCCTCGGCGCCAGCCTCGTCGTCTACAGCGGCGAGGGCTGCGATGCGAGCGCCTCCGACCTGCAGGGCGGGTACATCTCCTTCGACGGGACGACCAAGGAGCTGAACTCGGACTGTGGCACGCGCAACAAGGGCGTCACCTGCCAGTTCTCTTACTCGGCTTAGAGTAGTCTCTTTGTTTAGATGCAGGGGGGTTTTCACCGTTGTTATTGGCATAGGGGTAGTGATGGCGAGAGTCTCGGTCCAAGCTTGGTCATCTCTTTTGCTAGTCCTTTTTTGTGTTGAGTATCAGATGGAGAAAGCAGTTGATGCTATATTGTCTTGTAAGATGATTGGAATAATGCACTTGCTATTTGCCCCGAATATCACGCCTATCAAATCATATTAGTATGTCTGGTATGCACAGAAGAGAGACGACGATAAAGTTGAAAGAGTCTCATACAGTGGGCAAACCCTCGAAGCAAAGGTTCACCACCCACATTAGTGGTGATAATCGAAGCAGAGCGCAGGGGCAGAAAGTCAAACGAAATCAAAACCTCGATCCAAGACAACGAGCAGGACAAGGTCATTGTTCTAACCACATCCGATCTTTATCACAGCTGCGCTCATAGCCGGAGAGTGCCATCTATGATCCCCACACCCCATTATCCACATCCAATGACCGACCCTCCCCCCAAGGTTTATAAACATAACCCCCCTTACCCCACCACATACCTCAACCCAACATACACCGAACCACAAGTGACCCAACAACCCACGTACAACCCCCATCAACAACACACAACCTCAGCAAACGCACATTGTACGGTACTCAGTGAAAAAAAGAAAAATGGTTTCCCGTCCACCACGGGTCCCGCCGGGCTACATCGCCATCTACGGGGCGGACAAGGTCATCCTGCTGATGGTGCTGCACCTGAACTCGTCCGTCGCGTGCGACCCGGAGCGGCCGTTCGACTCCGCCGAGGCCCAGCGCGTGGTGGAGCGCGGCTTCATCGACACCTTCTGCGGGCGGGTGATCCGCTCGAACATCTCGGGCGATTTCGCCTCGCCCCGGAGCTACGATGAGGTCGTCGGCCGGGAGGGCGCGTTCGAGACCTGCGTCGAGCTCACCAGGGAGCTCATGTGCGCCGTGCACCACGATCCTTCCGTCCTGCAGGGCAATGGGGAATCGCTGAGGGACCGACTCCTCCAAGGGTGGGGTTTCTGCGTGGATGCAAAGAAAGGGTGATTCTGTGCCTTGAGTTCCCCCGGTATGTAAATTGCTCTGCTACGTGGGTGTGTGCTTGATGTATACGTGTATAATCCGTACGCGGAACTTGGCTAGATTGATATTATAATGATCGATTACTTTTTTTTTTCCAAAAAAAAAAAAAAAAAAAAAAGACTTATCTTGGTAAACTTCCTCAAGTTGTTGTTCTAGGTTTCTGTACTTCATTTCTTGCCTCATTGGTGGTATCTTTTGACATATTCTTATGTAATTAACCAATTTCTTTTTCTGTTTCAACTTTGTGAATTTCTTTTAGTAATATTTGTGCTTGAGGTTTGACGGAATCTTTTGCGTTTTGATTACCCCGGACCTGACTTAGACAGTACACGCTGGGGGTCATTCAGCAGCCTGGCTAATATGCTCTGCACTGTCAGGCGGGTTATCGGGATGGTCGCCTAGCAGAGAGTCCGCCTCCACGAACTGAATAGTCCACTCGAACATGTATCAGCGAACAAAATATGTACAAGCTCATGTGCATATATGACTGTAGAAAAGGAAAACTGTAGAAAGGTATAAAATAGCATCGATAAATACATAAATGAAACAAGGATTGTACCTCACAATGCAATAAACAAGGCAAAATGCTTGGTGATGTTGAGGGTATCCAAATCCCGCTAGCGCTGGAAAAAACAACAATATTAAAAATAACTCCACAAGAAATTGCGGATTACAATGATATTAACAAAAACTAGAGATGTACCGAAGAAATCATCATCTCCTCGCTCAAACCGCCTCCCAATCCATCGCATCGACCAAAAAGTCCCAGTCGTCGGGGTCACTCTCGCTCCCGCCGGCGGCCGCCGCGGCATCATCCTGGCCCGCCTCGCGCCCGAGCTCATCGACCCGCTGCTGGGCGATGTCCGCCGCCTCGACCAAGCCCTGCAGGATCTGGACGAAGATGGTATCGAAGTCGTAACTCTCGAGCGGGGTCAGCGCGTCCTTCCAGGCCTTGTAGCCCGCGCGCCAGGTCTGGGGGTCGCGCTCGCGCTCCTCGGGATCCACGTCGGCGTACTTCCAGCGGTTGCGCAGCTCCTTGGCCTTCTGCAGGTGGGCGAAGCGCTCGCCGGACCCCAGCACCTCGAAGTACGGGCTGTCAAGATCGCGGAGGGCCTCGAGGACGTTGGCGTGGTAGCGGTGGGTGGAACTGCCACCGCCATTCATCTCGTCCGCCCAGCTGATCTTGTTCGTGTTGGTGGAAGGGTGCGCCCGCGAAACGTGGATGTTCCACACCAGCATCAGGTACACCAGCGCCCGCTCCAGCAGCCCGTAGTACTCGTGGAAGTCGAGCTTGAACATCTGCTCCGCGTACAGCTGCTCCGCGGCCGGCTGGTCGCGGTTCGTCGCTTGCTTGAACCCGTCCACCAGGTGCCGCAGCTTCCACTCCAGCCGCCGTCGGATCTTCCGGTAGCGCGAGAGGGCCTCGACGGCGTCGGCAATGGACGGGGGGATCGGTCGCGTCTTCTTTTCCGTCGGCAACTGGGAGTCAGAGCGGAGGCTGTGCGCGGACGAGGAGGGCTCCGGGATTGGCGGCTCCGGGTGCGTCGGGATATTCTCCCATCCGTCGCCGAGCGAGGAGCTCACTCCGCCGACCACCCGCGGGAGTCTTGCGGCTCGTTGCTGCTGCTGCTGCTGCTGCTCTTGGTGGTGCTGGGTTGGACTTGTGCTCGTCGGCGCCGTGCCGTTGCTGGGGGCAGGGCGCGGGGACGGGGTCCAGATTTTGGGGTTCGTGTTGGGTGGTACAGATGACGTCCCGTTGGGAGTGCTGCTGGCTGAGGCGGTGATGGTAGTACCGTTGGTGGTGGTAGTGGTGGTTGCAGTGACGGCGGGCTGGGGTGGCCGGACCGTCTGCGGAGTAGACTTGGTTTTGTAAGACCTTTTTTGATGGCGATTCTGGGTCCCACCACGACCATGAGAATGCTGATGATGAGTGGTGGTGGTGGTGGGGGTGGTGGTGGTAGTGGTGGAGCTTACACTGGATGGCTCGTCGGAGCCTTGGGGAGCCCAGCGCGACTTGGCAAGTTCTTCACTCGTTTTTTGATCGGCCATGATGATAATAAGGCGTGATGAGGTAAGTTGAGATAAGTTCGCGTCAGTTTCACCAAACCAAATAATCTTATGGGGTTGCGGGAAAAGTGAAACGGGGCCTGGCCGGGCATGCGACGGCAACGCGGCTATTTATGCATCTGACTAAACTTATGCCGCTTTGTTGCTGCACCGCGGGAGTCTCCGCCCTCGAGCCTTTGTGCTTTGAACAATGAAATCTTTGTGAAGACAAATTAGAGTTTGTGTGATGAGATATTATTGAAGTGATGAATTGAATCTGTAGGTGTACTTCATCATGGAAACAGACTCATGACAATGGGATCGACTCGATCTTCGACTCGATCTTTGTAGATAAGAATTGGTAAATAGGAAAAAAAAAATCTTTGAATGATTGACAGACCGACCCGGCGACAGATGCCTCCCCCCGGATGGAAGTGATGTATTCGGTGCAAAGGGTATCAAACAAACCCGAGAACAAAGCAAAAACCCTTCATGACTCCATAACACCGTTCCTCATGGATGGTAAGTAAGTAAAAGTATCGGGGATTTCTTTCAGACCCGAGTGTATTTCCCGTCCATCTCCACCAGATGAACCTCGCTGTTGTCATCGCGCGGGCCTCGGGACACATAATCAACTGAAAAATTGACGGACTTGGAGATCTTGCTGTTGGCATTGGTTTGGCCCTTGGACATGAAGGAAGGGCCGCGCGAGGCGTAGGTCCGTCGCGAGTTCTGGCTGTTCATCCCCGGGATGTGGTGGGCGGCCACCGCTCGGGCGGCGGGGAGACACGTCGTGAGGATGGCGATTTGCGACTCGATGACAGACCAGTGGATGAGCGGGAGGAGACCAGCTATGCGGAGTCAGTGTCACACTCTCTGCTACCGATGGTGAAGGAAGGTATGATGGGCTTACCAGTTTGGTTCACGCCCCAGCGGTGGTTCCAGAAGACAACCAGCCGAATAATCGCAACAACCGTCAAACTAGAGAGCATTTCCCCATCAGTATATGTATATGGACATAGAGATTCCGAATGCCACGTAATTCCACTCACATCAAGCCCATCATGAACATCATTCCCACGGTAATCTTCTTGCCGGTCGGCAGCTGCAGCTTCGAAACCTCGTACACGGGCAGGATGACGATGATGACGTCGGCGACAATGTTCACAATACAGTGCACGAGAATGGCGTCAATGAAGTTGATGCAGGTTCCGCCGGCGTAGTTCGTGGCCCATCCATCCCAATCCAGGTGCACCGGGGTGCACCGGAGCAGGTCGACCAGCGCAAAAGTGATGCCGATCGAAGCGTTCACGCCAATCATGATATAGGCAAACGTACGGAAAACGCGCGACTGGAAAATGCGGAGAAGGAAGAGCAGGACGGAGATCTTGGCGAGCGAGATTTGCGTCTTGTAGACCATCGCCAGCGCCTCGAAGTGCTGTGTGGTGGGAGATCCGTCAGTGTTACCCCGCGAGCGCACTAGTCTACCTCACACACCTTATAGAAATTCGTGATGTCGTCGAACGGGACGTCCCAAATGTTCTGGCCAAAGCCGTAGTAGATCACTGATGCGGTGTCAGTTTAGGAGATAGACAAACCGTCGAAACTCAGGGGAGGTCACTCACTCTTGTCGTACATGGCATATTCGACAACACCAAAGACCTGAAAGACGTTATCAGTGAGCCGCCAGCGCGAGATCCAGTACGCGACCGAGTCTTACAAATGAGAGCGCAATTGTAGTGTCGTCCGGCCCCCAGCCTCCCGCAAGACCCTGGAACTTGGCCCATAACCGGATGACGAAGAAGACGGTCGCAAGAACGAGCGGCGCAAGAACGGACGGGTCCACGAGGGAAGG